AAGAATGTAGAAAAAGTACTGGCAAGCAGTGCTCACCCTCTGCATATATAGTAGCTGGTTTATGCAGGACTACATTCTTCAGATCTTCCTCCATGCTGTACTTCTGAGTCTGGGCAAAGGCAGAGTCACAGAGTGACATGACGTGGGTTGACTCAGACTTGGGGGAAAAAAATCTATAGATAGTGTTCAGATAACAACTTATCTTACAAGGTATTAATAGCATGGAATTTAAGTAATTAATTAAGACAGCCTTTGGAGATGTTTGAAAAGAGGGAATTGGGAACAGTAGTACCCAACTGACAAACACAGAAGTTGCCTCTTCAGGGTTACCATCAGGCCAGCCATCAAGCTGATATCAGTCAGCAATATTTTATTATCACTAGATTTAAGAGCTGGGCTGGCCAAAGTGGGGCTGCTAAATACCTCTTCTCTCAGGAGGCTCACCACCACCAGACAGCCCAAGAATACAGACCCTGCTGTGTCTGATCCAGCTCCTCCTAATGGCTGTTTTCTTTCCTCCCCACAGCTCCTTCTGCCTCCTACCATTTGATGATGGTGAACAGCATTATTTCATATTTTTATTGTAACATTAAACTGTGTTCACAGATTCCAAGTCTGATTAGTTGGCTGCTTACTTGGCATTATGGTCTGCTTACTATTTTAAAAGAGCAGAAATATGCATTCATGGAATTCTGTAAGATTAGGGAGCTATGTCCAGCACGTTTATCGGACTTGGGTGGAGCATGGAAGCCACAAAGCTGAGCAAAGTGGCTCATAGATGGAGTGACAGGATCAGGGTTCAAACAGATCTCAGCAGGCCAGATTCTGGGCCAAAACCAACAAGAGGAAATTCAGTAATGATTAATGTTAAGTCTTACATAAGTAAAAATGGGAGAGAGCTGGCTCTACTGTCATTGTTTTGAGAAAGACATCATTTTGAAGAACAACAATCGCTTATGCTTATTGAGACATTCCCTTGTTACGTTTGTTGAGATGCCGCGTGATTTGCTTTATATGTGTTATTTTATTTAAATCCTGTTGGGGTAAAGATGATCATCTCTGTTTTATAAATGAGTTTTAGAAAGGTTAAGAAACTTATCCAGAGCCACACAGCTTTTAACCATTATGTGATACTGCTTCCATGATGAGATCCAATATATGGTGGGACTGAAAAAGGAAGGAAGGAAGGAAGGAAGCAAGGCAGGGAAGGAAGGACGGAGAGAGGAAGGGAGGGAGGGAGAGAAGAAAGAAAGAAGGAAGCTTAGATTCCATCAAAAGAAACCTGGATCCTAGGGGCAATGTGGGGTCTTTGTTATTCTCAGATACAGTGTTATATTCTGGACACTACATTTGAAGATTAAAAATGTGCAAACTTAAGTGTGTGCAGAGAGAGACAATATTTGTAAAAGAGCTGGGACAACTGAAGGCACCAGATCATCTGAGAAAGCTTGAGAAGGGTTTTTCTGTAGAAGAGGACGGAGACTCACCGTCCACTGCTCTGGAAGGATGTCAGTTCCAGGGAAGCAGGTTCTGTTACCCTACAAGGAAGAACACACAAACATGGATGTTCAGAAATGACCCTGCTGGTGCAGTAGTCTGTTCCAATGGGGCTTTTTTCTGAATGTTTGTGTTGTCATCATGCTTCTGGCATCCGAGGGAAGAGATGAAAACGGGATAGAAATCTGGGATATTATTGTTACCCTTTGAATAATGAAGAATACATGAGAAGGGCAGGGGTACTGGCTGGTAGGAAATAGCATTGGGGTTTCAAAACAAAATCTGACCATCTTCATAGCCAAGAAGAGGAGAAAAACTTGAGCACCCCTCTTGAGATGTCGTTTTTCTCTGTTTTCTTAGGGGGAAAATATCTTAACCGATCCAACCAGAGAAACCAAATGTTTGCATTTATAGCATGCCTATTTTAGTTATTTTAGAATCAAGATTCTTTTTTGTTTTTTTTGTAAGTAAAGGTGGAGAAGTTATGGAAAGAAACCTGACTCTAACTATAAACTCAACAGATGGGATAGTGGGAATAAAAACAAATTAAAACAATATTGCAAAGAACTCTCAACTTTCATTTTATAATATATACGATGATGTTTTTCAGCTTTTCACATTCAGCCTATCAGTATATCGAGTGACAAAATGAAAAATCAATTTCAGCTGTGTATATTTTAAACGTTTACCTAAATGATTTGGACTTACCAACCTAAAAGTCTAGATGAATGTATTAAACTGCTTATTGTATTTTTTATGAATTAAAACTTTATTTTATGTTATGGTACAGACGGGACACAGTTATATTTGGTGACGTTTAGTGTAGAAAATTGAACTGAACAGTGGTCTAATTAGAACAGTAAATAGTATGGGTTTAATTAGCCCTTATTCCCAATGACAGATTTGATCAGTTGCCAGATATTTATCCTTTCCTTTCACTTGACTGTTTCTGAAATATTGCTTCTAGTAGGGCTGTGTACTGGGCTATAAATAGGCAGCTTGGCAGGGAGCCATGAAACCTACTGGCCGGTGAGAGCTGGGGGAAAGTTATTGGAAAACCCCCTCCCCTCCTTGCTTCCAGTCATTATTTCCTCATTTCGCTTCTGAAGGTCCTTTCTACAGATCTGTCTCTTAATTTAATTTCTTTTGGTTGGATGAGGTCACTTGGCCTAAGGGCTTAAGGGGACCTGTGCAATATCCAGTTCAGTCGCATGGTGCCGTTTATTAGTAGCTCAGGGTTTCCTTCATAAACTCTGCTGTTCCCAACTTAGAACTTACCTATTAAATTCTGTCTGACTTGACTTTTCTGTGTGTCAACAGGAGGTGGTTTTCGTTTGTTTGTTTGCTTGCTTGTTTTTAATTAAAGCATGAAAGCGTTTGCTATAGAAAAATTTTTTTACAAAATGCAGAGAAACAAAAACAAGAGAAGTTAAAATCACCCAGAGGTGGGCACTGCTAACAATTTAATGAACCACACACTCCTCTCTCTATCCGTGTACACGTTTATCTGTAGTGAAAACGATAGAGGCTGATGTTGTTCTCTAAGGATTACCTTTTACCCCCAAAATATTTTTTAAAAAAGAAATTTCAAAGCCCATACAAAATCAGATAAAACTAACATCCGTTTATAGCACTAACTGTCTTCATCAAATTTAACATTCTGTCATATTTGCTCCAGATATTTCATGGGAGGGGGTAGGAAATAGAATATTCGGTTGGCATCCCTTTTGTCTCTTTCTCCAGCAACATTCACTCCTAGTCTGCATCCTCCATTCTTAGAGGCAATTTGGTGGGTTTTCATCCAGCTCATATATTTGTACTTTTGCTACTACATTTTTGTGTGTATATTCATACACCTATATGTTTATCTATAGGTGAAGAGATAGAAATGCCAAATGTGTTTTTATTTTAATGTAATTAAATCTATCAGTCTTTTCCTTTATAGTTTCTACCTTTGTTGACATATCTAGGACAGGCTTTCCTATATCAAGTCTATATGACTATTAATCTATAATTTTTCTAGGATTTTATGGTTTCAGTATTTTATATATATATATGTATATATATATATATATATTTTTTTTCTGGTGAGGAAGATTAGCCCCGAGCTAACATCCATTGCCAATCCTCCTCTTTTTGCTGAGGAAGATTGGCCCTGGGCTAACATCTGTGCCCATCTTCCTCTACTTTATATGTGGGATGCCTGCCACAGCATGGCTTGATAAGCAGTGCATAGGTCTGTGCCTGGGATCCGAACCTGCCAACCCCGGGCCACAGAAGTGGAGCGCGCAAATTTAACCACTGTGCCCCCAGGCCAGCCCCGCTATAGTTTCAGTATTTTAATATAAATTTCTAGTATATCTGGAATTCATTTTGGTGTATTTTGTGAAGAAGTTATCTATTTTTTTTTTTTTAATCATTCATCACGTTGACTTGTGGTCCCATACTATATCCTTCTACTTGGGTCCATTTCTGGACTCTTCTTTTTAAAAATTTCATAGATCTGACTGCTATTGCTATGCCAATTCTATACTCTTTTAATTGAGGCAATTTCCCTCTCATTTCCCTTCTTGTACAGGTGTTTTTTTTTTTTTGGCTCATGTAGACATTTACTCTACCAGATGAACTTTAGAATAATTTGTTAGGTTCCAAAAAGATTCCCTTTGGGATTTTGATTGGAGTTGCTATAAATTTATAGATTAATTTGGAGAGAATAACATTTTTACAGTATTGAGTCTACTCATTTAGGACTATGGTATGTTTCTTCATTGATTCAAGTTACTTTAGGCCCCTTAGTAAAGTTTTGTAACTTTATTTAAGTAATACACATCATTTTTAAAAAATCTAAATCTACATCTATTTATATATTTTCAACTTGTAACTCCCCCTCTTCTCTTTTCTCTGGTATATCCTGGCATAAGTCAATGGCGGCAAGTCCAGAAGACAAATTAAACCAAACTATATTCATAATTGACCTTTCCCTATTTTCTTGGACCCCTAAAGCTTTACTTACTTTGTTTTCTTGGGATGGAGCCTCTCTCATGAGGTTCCCCAAATCCTCGTGCAAAAAGATTTCCTTGAAATTAGCACTGATATGTCTGACAGACAGGCAAGTCAGAATTTCGGGGGTGAGAACTTAGGTACAAGCTGGGACCCTGCTATGTAAGTTATAAAAACATAATAATCATAATCATAGTAAAAAGTTATTGATATTTAGACAATTTATTTAAATTGCAGAATGATAAAATTTCCAATTTAAAATTGAGCTTAGAAGCCATCTGTACAAAACATTCTTAAGGTGGAGAATATTACTCATATGCCACTAGTTTCCACATAAACCTATCTTGTATGGTCTTTTTTAATGTAGCCATTCCAAAGCAAAGCATTTTAAAGCAACTCTGGTCTCTGTGAACAGCTTAGGATAAGACTCTGGAAAAAGTGGGGAAGATTTAGGAGAGTTCTACCACATTTTCTATAATTTATTGTGTTTTTTCACATTCTAGACCTCAAGAAACACTCGTTCAGATGAAGAGAAAGATGGCAACTGGGACGCTTGGGGGGACTGGAGTGACTGCTCCCGGACTTGCGGAGGAGGAGCATCATATTCTCTGCGGAGATGTTTGACTGGGAGGTAAGTGGTGGCTTTACTTGCTCTTCTCTGTGGGATGGGGTGGGGGAGGGGGCAGCTTGCCTTCTTGCCTTGGAACGTACTATGATGGTGGTGTAACATCTGCTATGTCTAAATTTTGGTCAACCTCAAGTTACCATATTTAAATAATAATGGTCCCATTTTCATGAGTGTGGCCATACTCTATCCACATGAGGCTCCCAACTCATAGAAGCCAGGGGTAATAGACACTTTGAGCTTTGAGGGAGGGAAGGCCTGGCATGTTAAGTCACTGGCCCAAAGTTGTCAACACTTGGGGTAGGAGGTTACATCGTCTGGGTTCTGCCCTTGAGTTGTTACCATTTTAATTCATTTCTTGTTCACTTTCTCTGAGCAACCCATTGATTAAGAAGGTAATGCAAGTTCTGTTTTCACATCTTAGATATATTTATATTAAATATTTGTTAAAATGTAAGATCAGCTTCTTAAAAAAAACATAAATTTGTAATAAGCCCACATTTATCATTGCTTTTGAGACAATTTGAGGTAATTCTTCACAGGGCCATTTAAATTCTAGCCAAGGATTTTACCTCAGCTCTCAGGAAAGACAGAGCCCCAGGTTGAGGGAACCTGATTTGCTGCTCCTGGACAAAAGAAGACTCCAGGATCATGGCAGCCATTTTCAGATTTGGGATGTTGTCAGGTGAATGAGTAAATTGACTTTCCCTGAATAGCGTTAGGATGTAGAACAGAAACACAGGGAGAACATTTTTTGGCTCAAGTTTGGATTTCATCGAGGTTACTGTTTTATGATATATTAAATAGTGACCAAGTACCTCCTACTGTTCTTGAGTGCAGAGCAGGGCAGATGAGAGACTGTAGACGTGGCCTTTGGGAAGGAGGACTCTTGGTCCACTCCAGGAAGGCATGGGAAGGCTGCTGGAGACACTGTTGGTTGGTATCATTACCCCAGGGTGAGTTCTGACTCAGAGCACTGAACTCTAAGTAAATGGTTGCAGAACTGAATCCAGGGATTAGTCTTGTAAAGACAAAGTGGTATACCTTCTACCCCTATGCTATTACCTTGGCGAGGAAATAAAGGCCCTATTACTCTAGGTGTGTCAAGCAGCATGGAAGAATGGTAGGATATTGTGTTGTACTGGGATATATTTATTCTGGTGAGACCTGCAATAGAAGGGCCACACTCTTGTGGGCGAGGGGCAGGGAGGGGCTTCTTATGTAAGGGATAAGTTCTTTCCCACTGCTGGTAAGTCACTTGATGGAGTCTCTAGCACGGAAACTGGAGTCGAGAAGGTTAGGCTTTTGCACCTCTCTGTGGCCTCCAAATCTGAGTCTAAATAATTTGCAATTAATGGTAGGGTTTGGGTGGGAAAGGAGTGGGATTTACTTGTGTTTGTCTTTTTTTTAATAGTATATACTTGCATTTGTTAAAAAGAATTAGAGGAATATATTAAGGACCATGAATGACCACTTTTATCCTATTTTCCTGCAACCCAAATGCTTACATATTTATTATTTAATTACTTTTTAAGATTTCTTTGATTTTACCTGGAATATAATTTTGCCGAGTGATCTACCTCAATGTGTGAGTGAATTTGCATCTCCTCTTTCCTAACTGGGGTCAGCTGCTAATGAAAAGGCTTCGGGTAAGGAAGGGCAGATGATCAGCTTCTTCTGTCTTTCCTCTACCCATTCAGAAAAGGAGATTTGGGCAAGAGGAGAGGAGGAGGTAGAGGAAAGTTCTGCCTTGACTTTAGTGAGCAGGTGTTGGTGCTCTCTGGTTTGGCAAGTGTTTACAGTGGGGTCCTTCTATTATGAGCACTTGGATGGATTTTTCTGAGACACTATCTCCCCTTCTCCCTCCAATCCCTTGGGATCTCTTGCCTGCAATTCCCTTGAGTTGTGCTATTCATAAGCCTATGTCTTAGTAATTCTGTTCTTTCCTCAGCTCTGGGACAGCTAGGTATACTTTCAGCCTCTCCCTGTTTATGTCTGCTCCCTCCTCAGTGGCCGTCTGGGTTGGTTCCTAAGACAACCCCATTCTGGCTCTCTTGCATGTGGTCCACATCTCATTCACTGGAAACCCTCATGTGAACTTTGCTAAACAAACCCTTGAAGTTCCAGGAGTTAGTGCAGCAACACCTACTCTGCTTACACAGGTCACTGCAGCTGATCGCTTAGCCCTTAAATTTCTCAGGTGTGGATTAGACACCAACCAACTGCAGGAGATACATATTGAACGCTCCAAGTGGTGTCCCTAAAATTTCTTCCTCTTGATTTGGTGTTAGCAGATTGAAGCCCTCAACCCTTCTCTTTCTTGGTGGGGCAGAATGCGAGTTGGGATCATAGCATAGATTTCTCAAAGAAATCTTCAGAAGTCCTTCCACTATCTAAGTCTCCAGCTCGACTTTTTTTTTTTTTTCCTGAGGAAGATTGGCCCTGAGCTAACATCTGTTGCCAATCTTCCTCTTTTTTTTTCTTTTTTCTCTCCAAAGCCCCCAGTAGATAGTTGCATATCCTAGTTGTAGGTCCTTTTAGTTACTCTATGTGGGACGCCACCTCAGCATGGCTTGATGAGTGGTGAGTAGGTTCACACCCAGGATCCGAACTGGCGAACCCTGGGCAGCCGAAAGGGAACACATGAACCCAACTGCTGTGCCACCAGGCTGGTCCCTCCAGACCTTTTTTATACCTTGGTGTGTGTAAGGAGTTTAACAACTGTGAATTAAACTAACACAGAGCCTGCTCTCATGGTTCTTATGGTCTAGGGGGACATACAGTAAACAAGTATGTAATCAAATTACATATAATTAAAAATTGTGTCAAGGGGATAGATAACCCCTATCTAGGGAAGTCCTCTGTGCTAAGGGTCTGTGCTGAGCCCTGACTGCTGAGGGGAAGTCAGTTATGTGAAAGGGGAGGGTTATGGGACATGAAATTCAGATAGTGGGAGCAGCGTGTGTAAAGGTGTTGGAGCAGGAAATGAAAAGAGGCTTTTATGTCTGGAAAACAATAGACAAGGGAGAAAGCAGAATGGGCCAATGTTGAAGAGGGTAGAAAGGTAGGCCAGGGTAAAGAATCTGCTTCTCAGACTTTTGAATTTCAAATACTAGTAAAGTTTCAAATAAAACTGTATTTGGAACTGACATAGGTTGTCAATTTTTTATTTGGTCAAATAAGGACAAAAATAAAAACAAACCAACAAAACTCAACAATGGGCTACCATCACAGACTTTTCAAAAAAGAATTACAATCAGAATCTTTTCATTTTAACATCAAAAAGTAGGGCATAATCTTAGATTAAAAGACCTACCTTTAAATTGAATTCATTTAGCTTTATGAAAATCCACTGTTTTGTCCTTATTTGTCTCACTTCACTTTGGACCAATAAAAACTATGACAGATATTAACTGTCCAATGATGGGAAATTGGGAACCAGAAATTGAGAAGTAAAATGTAGTAAGGGACCTAAAACTTGAGGTTCCAAGATCTCTGAAGGAAGTGATGTGCAGAAAAGTGACTTTGTCTGAGCCGTATGTTTCCTCCAGGCGTTCACCAGTTCTTAAGCAGTAAGAGGCGGAGAAGCCAAACAGACAGCAGCTGCCACGAGGCGGAGAAGCTGGCAGGTCTGGTGGCAGTCTCACGGTCCCGGGACATAAAAACCGGGATTCAAAGCCCTGCTAAACACTTCAGGTGCCCAGCGGGTGTCCCTGAAGCGCTCTACCCTAGGAGAAAGGGAAAATCAGTCCTAAATAGACGGCATAATACTAAGACTGAAACCCAGTCTCGAACTAGCTCAACCCAAATTTGAATAATAAAATCTGTTGCTATTCCAACTGTCTCCAAGAAGTTTTTGAAAAAAGCTGGTGTTTTGAAAAAGACCCTGGAGGAAGATGACATCAACCAGAGGTCATACAAGTTTTGATAGATCATGTACATAATTTGGTAAAACATTACCAGTCTTGCCATGAGACAAGATCGAGAGGAAAAAAACAGGCAATAGAAACAGGTACTGTAGTTATTAGAGCTGTGTGTTAAAAAACAAATGAACAAAAAAACAAACAAAACAAAATCCCCATAATAAATATGTTTACAAAAATAGATCACAAAATACAGGATTTCACCAGAGAACTGGAATCCATAAAATAGAATGAAATGGAAATTTGAGAACAGAAACATATGCTATCTAAAATTATAAACTAAATAGATGGCCTTAGTAGCAGATTAGAAACAGCAAAAGAGAGTGTAGGTTTGTGGAAATATCCAGGCTAAATTATGGAGGGGGAAAAACACAGAAAATAGAAAAGGAATCTATGGAACAAGGTGAAAAGGTCTAAAACATGTGTAATTGGGGTCCTAAAGGGAAAAGAGAGCTGGAGAGTAGGGTAGAAGCACTATTTGAAGAGATAGTAACCAAGAATTTTCCAAAATTTTCAAAAGTTATAAAGATATTAAGCCACAAATTCAAGAAACTCTACAAAACGCAAACATAATAAATTGCATAAACACATCACAGTAAAATCTTAAAAGGAGCCAGAGGGAAAAGACAC